ATTATTTTACCAAAAACCATTAATTTGGTCAATAAATCGTTGATTCAGGCTTTTTGAACCATCCAATGGTTTGGCCATTTTTTTATTATTTTTTTAATTTTTTATTTTTTGTCAGAGTGGACTGTCCATTCAGTTTGAATGATCAGACCGTTCGATTCGGGAACCGGATCCCTACCGGTTCGTTGTCTGATTTGATTTCAAAAACCTTAATTTTTAGACAGTTAATTTTGCCTCTTTTTTTTTGTATAAATATGGATTAATCAGTATGTTAAGCAATATTGTCGAGCTTTGCTTTTACTAAACTTTGCTTGGATCCTGTATCTCAAATAAAAGAGCCATGGATAATGTACAAATTTGGCTAGGTTGCTACATGATTCTCCCTCAAAAACCCATATAACGGAGGCTGGTCCAACTGTCCAAGTTGTGGTTTTGGGTTTATCCCGGCTGGCATGTGTGGATGGGCCAGTTCCAAATTAACCAGCAAGAAAAGAATTGAACTGGGCCCGTCGTGTTGGGGTTAGAAATGTGTTTGGCCCAAACACGTATTGGCTACGGAAGGGTCATTTCGGTGACTAGCCCATGAGCCCATGTCGCAACTTGCAAATTCATTTCTAGCAAAAGCGGACCTCACTTGAGTCAGGAATCAGGATGTGTTGGCTTTATTCTGCACTCCCATCGCCCATGCGTATGTCTGAGTACTTGAGTGGTGACTAATGAATGAGACCACTCGAGTAAATATGGAAGGACAAGAAGAAACAAACACATCCCGATTCACCGCTCAGTGCTCACTCCATATTGGTTGTTTTCCATGAAAGGATGTATCAATTTGAAGTTGACGTAGTAGTAGATCATGCATTTACACCTTTCACTTGACCACGTGTTGGATTACTTATTTGAATTTTGAGGTACAGCTAGCAGCTAGTACTTAGTAGTCTTTGTTCTCTCGCACGCACCTAATTTCTCTTTTCTTTCTTTTTTGGGTTGCTGGCCGGACAGTCGTTAGTCATCCTGATGATCATCCAATTGACCATTTAGGAGGAGTGGGTGAGGTATGAGGCCCAAAAGTAGTTCATCTGTTGTGGCCAAACCGTTGCATTCAAATAACCAATAGTATGACCAGGCCACTTATAATTAAGGATATCATTTATATAAGGTTGAATCTGACTTATGCTTGCTCTTGCATTCATGAAGATTGAGAACATTTTGGTTTTACTAACTGCACATAACATAATTATAACCTGGGTTTGATAGAGTTCGAATCTGCTCCCCACATGCACATCTCAGCCTGCATCGGGAACATTTCTCGTAATTGTTATTGGCAAATGTTCCTAATACACAGAACACAGTTGAGATATATTGTGGGGCGTTGGTGGGACACGCTTTATGGGGCGCAGATGCAAATTCGGGTTGAGAGATTCTGCAAGATGTTCTGAATTGGAACCATCCTGGTTCTATAAGACTTAAGAGAGACTCCTTACACTGGCATTTGATGGCGTTGGTTCTGTGTAATCGACTCAGTTATCTCATAGTTTCCTTGTCAATAACCAGTCTTCAAGTAGGCAGCCAAGCTCCATTTTTCCCATGCTTCCCCTGTTTCAACCTTAAATAGGTAAAATCCTTTTGTCTAAGATTTGGTGACTAAGGGGGTGTTCGGAAACATAAATGGGTTTTGTTTTTCAAAACAAAAATGACTGCCACATCAGACTTTTGTTTTTTGTTTTGAAAAACAAAATCATACATGATCTAGGCGCTCGTGGTCCGGTCCAATAGGAAGCCAGTATGCGTTAGGTGGCAGTGTCCAGAGCGGACCCAATCAGCACGTAGGCGCAGCAGTACTTGGCGGGCTGGCGGCCTTGGATGGCTGTCCTCCCCACGTATGGATTGCATCCAGACGTCTGAGGCCGTCTACCTCCAAGCAGCCTCAAGTATAAATAGGAAGTGACCCCCTCAAGGTAAAAGATTCAAAACTTAAGACGCTTGAGCTATTCTTGAGAATTCTTACTCTCCCTTGTGACTTCATCTGAGCCTCGTACTTCAGACCTTGGTCACCTTGCACCAACCTCGTGTTAACTTGACGTTGGAGTCTCCGCCTTGGATACCAACCCGGGGCCTCTGACGTGTTCTCTCCACTCCTTGTAGGATCAATCTACCCACCCTCAGCCACCTTGGACCTCAAGCAACTTGATCTCATCTCGACTTAGGAGCGAAATTACTGTATTGACCTCGGCCTATTCCGAGCATCAACAATACACATTAGCTGACACCGCCTAAAACAATGAATAATTCAGGGTTGGCTCAATTTTTATTCTCTTTTTGTTTTATTTGTCTCTTTTGTTCGAAACAAACTGAAGAATATGCGAGTGAAAAATGGGCCTGTGCATTCACTATTTGATTATTGCAGGCCCACATTGTAGCCCTTTAACTTGTCCTACATATTGATCCTATTTGTGGTCCTATATGTCTGTTATAATATATGGGCCCCATTAATTGGTTATAATAACCCATCCTTTTCTCCACCAAAAAAAATATCATCCTATTATAGTTGTAGTTTTGTAGGTCCCATGCTCCACAGGTGAATGGTGATCAGTTATTATATTCAATATCAACCTGCTTCAGTTGTGGGAAAGTTTAAATGGCACTACGTTTGGCGTTTTTTATTTTATATATATAAGGATTAAACTTTAAGTAGCCCCATATTTTATGTTTATTTGTATTTCAAAAATAAAAATAAAAAAAATGCAAAATTTAGAGGAATCAAGGAAAGCAAAGAAAGGTTGTGATGTGAATGAGATTAATAGGAGTGAAACCCAAGTTGGCCCAAGTTAACATTTTACACTGCTTCGTGCTCGACAGGTCAGGCCATTCAAATCTAGACAAAATCCCAACCCTAACCAGCCCAGATTGCACCCCTAGATGAGAAGTCTTGTGTAATATGGTAGAAGTCTAAAAGATCTGCTATATGTATATTTATCTATAATATGCTCTCATTTAAAAAGTCTCAAACTCGAAATTTCATCTCCGATGCATCATGGAGTACTGAGTCCCTACAGGGAAGGATAAAGCAAAGAAAAGTATCTTGAAATGAATAAAAGTATATGCACGCGGTTGGATTTGGCCCAATAGTTCTGCCTTTTGGTCCATCACAATTCAGGCCCAAAATCATACTTTGTTTGGTAAGTACATGAAAGCCTGTCTATAGGGGTTTTCTTTATATATTATATGGTCCAAACCACTATATCATACTGAACCAAATTGAAATTGGTGGTTTGATATGAAAATTTCTCAAATTGTAATTTTCTGGTTTAATCTGGTTCATTAAATTTTAGAAAATATATCAAACTGTAAACCATATTAATACTAATATATTTATTAAATGTATATAACATATATAATACATATATTTAAACATAAATATATATATATATATTTATGTATGTATGCATTTATTTAATACTTTATATATTGTTGTTGTCTGTTTCAATTTTTAACTTGTAATTCGATGTTCAAAAAGCTATTTATGTTTGAAAAAAATATGAATGTAATTTATATTATAATAATAGATGGCACCTGTTAGCATTTCAATTTGATATTTGAATTCTATTTGTTATTTTTGTAGGTATACACGTGATTTTAGCTTTCTAATTTGATTAAGTCCAATAGAATGACCCAAACTGTAATAAAATGGTCTGGTCTAATTTAATTATTATGCTAAAACGATTTGATTTGATCCAAGAATTTTTTTCACTGGTTTGGTCTGAGATCTTCAGAACCAAAGCCGACCGTAAACCATAAAATGGTCCCCTACCCGTCTGAACCGGAAATGTGATTTCTATCGGTCCAAACTTTTGAACAACGTTCATGACCCACGAACACGATAGCCTCATCCCATGGCTTACCAAATGATCCTGGCCATCAAGTTCTGGCTCCCCAAATGTCGGGCATGAATAAGGGAAGATGAAGCAATTATATTTATAGGTCCAGTGTCGCGGAAAAAACCTTACTCACATCCGTACATTGGGAACATCTTCTCAAATTTCTCAACGTGCGGCTGGATTCCATGCTTTCAGGGGATCGGGCTCCCGAGGCAGCAGTTCATCATAGAATGCAGGAAGGATCAAGAAGCGTCATCATCGAGATGACGATGTGGGTCCAATGAGTCATTTTCATCGCATTTATAACGATTAATATCCCAAGCCCGAAGCCCAGCACATTTGTTTTGGGGCCCCGGCATCAAATGCAGGTCCCATTTTATTTTGTCCACGTCGGCACATAAAGTCAAAATTCAACCATCGGTAATATTGTTAACAAAATGGAGTTTTAAGTTTTTAACCGTGAATTCTTTAAAATATTGAAAATCAACTATTCCTTATGACCCCGACAACTTTTGTTGTCAGCGGGTCCCGCCAAAGGTTTGAATGGTAGATCCGTCCGTCGACTTCTAGGACAAAATGAAAATCCGACGGATTATATACAGTCAACAAAGCCTATCATGATCCGTCTCTTTGACTACACTCAAAAACTCCCATCTCTACAAATGAATTTTCCAACTTTGACCGAAGTGTCACATCCGTCGAGGCGCAATTCGAGATACCCTCAGATTTCAATAAATTTACTAAAAAAAGGCAGTGCGTATGCGTCTAGTCCATGGACCCACTCAAAATTGAAATCACGACGAGTCGGTCAAATTCAAAATTCAACAGTTGTTAGGGATTTCGTGTGGCAACTGCCATACGGCGAAGATTCTTCCAACTGCTTTTGATCAGCAGATCCAACGTTGATTTGGTGGATCTGAGTAGAATTTTGGAAGGGGATTAAGGAGCGCTGATGTGATGTCAGCGGAGCCCAGAATTCAAGAAAGTCGGTTTGGTATTTGGTAAGGTCTGAAAATGGCGTTTCCGTATATATTACGGAGTATAGGGGCATTTTTGGGAATGTATTAAGAAAACTATTTCTGTTGTGATAATAGAGCGAGAGAGTGCAATCTGTATTCAATTTTCAATTTTGCAGCAAATAATAAAATTATATTTTAAAAATACAGGTTTGACTGCTGCTCCCTCGGTCTCCATCTCTCTTCCAATCCTCTCCACTTTTTTGCTTGTTTCTTTATTTCCATTGACTTAGGGTTTCTCATTTCCCGTTTCTCATCCGTCCCTGCTATTCACTTTAATCAATCCATCGAATGCAAAGAGAACATTTTTATTTTCTATTTCGGATCTCAGATCATTAAAGACGACGCAAAGTTTATCATTTTCTGTTGCTGAGGAGAGAGAGAGAGAGCCGCTGATCTTTGGTTCTACTGTTTCTGTTATCAGGTTCGATTCGTTTTCCCCTTTTTTCCTCATCCTTATTCATGTCTTTTCTTCGGCAATTTGTGGAACTTATTGAGGAACTTGTGAGTCGGATGCTTTTATTGGACTTGCGGGAGAAGGGCTACGATTCTCCTTTTCCTCTTTCTTTTATTCTTTTCCTTTTATTTGTTGAAGTGTGTTTTCGATGCCAATTAAAGAAATTTAAGAGAGTATTTTGAGTAATTTTCTGGTTGAATTTGTTTGGCGGAATTTTGGACTGCAGGGAACTGAATTTGCAGTTTCACTTGAGGGTTTGAGTGATTAGTTTGGTTTTTGTTTTGAGTTGGGCTTCAACGGCGTTTCATGTGGAACTTTAGGTTTTTGTTGGCGTTATTCTATGTTCATTTGGGAGAAAAGAATTAATTTTTCGTGGTTTTGATTTGCATTTCTCACGTATACTAAGTTGCCGACTTTTGGTATTGTAATTTGTTTTCCTGGCGACCTTGTCTAGTTAGGAAGTTTAAGATTTTAATTACATTAATTTTTATTTATTTGTGGAGGTTGGATTCTTTAATTTTAGGAATGGGTGTAAATTTGTTTTTCCTGCTTATTCATTGCTTTCCATCTTTTTCTAATGCAATCCAGTTTATCGATTTTGCCGTTTATTAGGGAATTTGACGCTGTTATTCCATTGCTTCAGGTGATCCTTTAATGCTTTTTTCTCACAATATTTTGGGGTTTTGGGGTGAATTAAGATTAGTGCCTATGGCCATTGGCCAATAATGCCTTAAAACTCAATATTTAGATTAACTGAATTAAGATTTGGGGGAAAACCAACTAGTTTTCTTGAGACGCTTTTTACAATTCAACCTGTTACTCAGGTTTGATTGCTGGCAGATGAGCTATCCCTTGAAACACTGTCAATGTCCTGTTATTTGGAAAATTCTTGACTACTAATTTTTCTTTCATTTACTTGGTATCCAGAGTTGAGCGCAACCATCTTCTTGGATGCCATTAGTCATTGGGTCAGCCAGTAACCTGTGCTTTCTCTTCCTTTTATGCAGGAGCAAATATTGTACAGCTGTTAAAGTTATCAAACATAAAATGGGGTGTTTTACAGTATTGAAGAGTAAGAAAAAGAAATCTGAGCAGCCCATCTACAATAAACGTATCAATCCTCAGGAAAATACACCTACCATGCTCCCTGAACCACAACCTAGTGGTCGCTCTCTTCAGTCCGCCCCTCCAAGCTTCAAAACAAGAGAGACAAAAGGTAGAACCCGGGCTTTATCTGCTCCTTCAATGTTAAACGTAGCAGAGAAGGATGCACTGTCATCAATTGAATATGATGAACATGAAGAATCCAAGATTCGAGGTGGGTTCATAAAGGAACAATGTGCTCCAAGCCCACAACCTCTCCCTCTTCCATCACCTCAGAGCACTACTGTTTTGAAGAATATGGGAAGCTTCAAGTTAGGGAGTGCCAACAGTTCCATTCATGCTTCCGGTCCCTTACCTCTACCTCCTTTAGGAGGACTCCGGAACTTCTCATATGAAGAGATAGCTGCAGCATGCCAACATTTTTCCCCTGAACGTTGTATGTCAGAAGGCCTTTCTTCTGTGATTTATAAAGCCTCTTTTGGAGAAGATTCCCCAGGTTTCAAGAAACTTGAAGCCACGGTTACTCGCTTTCTTCCTTCCAATCAGGTAATGTACAAGTCTATATTTTCTCATGTCACTGATCTATGGATCTTTTTTTAAGTACTTTTCTTTCATCTCCCTGTATTCAATGCATCCTTTCCAAGACCCAGATAGCAGGGACTAAAGTGAGCCTAAATACTGAGATATCTAAATAATTGTCAATTAAGCCATTGCTCAATGCTCCCCACCCCTTGGGATCTCTGTGCTGTCCTTTGATTTTTCTACTATGTATTATGAGTTGTTATTCTTCACACGCCTGTTCATGGTCCTATCCCCCCCCCCCCCTAACTAGATCTTATAATGGATGCAATCATTGGCTATGAATATAAAATGTCCATATTATAAAGATTATATTACTTGAAATTAAGGATGTTCTTTCTGCTGAGCTATAAGAAAGGATGCCATTTGGCACAAAGGCACATCAGTTATACTTGTTATTAGGGAAAATCAGCAGCTCTATTGCGTTGAATTTCCATTTATTCAAACTTTTTGTCACATCATTTACATACTAATGCAACTTAAGAGTACTTTGCATCGTTGCTGATGCACTGATGAGAATTTCTGAAGTATATATCCTAGTTCATTGATCTATATTAACACATTGAGTTATTGATTTGACATGTGGGATGGGTTTATGGAAATCCTTTTAATTTTTGGTGTTTTGAGAATCACAAGTGAATTGAGATATAACCTTACCATGTTTGTGTTCTTACAGGGGTTCAAAGAATTTGTGAATGAGATTAATATGCTTGCATCCTTGCAACATCCCCTGCTCTGTAAATTGCTTGGCTACCATGCACGGGAAGGTTCAGAACAACAGATGTTGGTCTATGAGAGGCTCTTCCATGGAAGTTTAGATAAACTGCTTTATGGGAGGTCTGATGGACCTCCAATTGACTGGCATACTCGGATGAAAGTAGCTCTATGTGCAGCACAAGGTCTTGCTTTTCTGCACGAAGAAGGTCCTTTTCAGGTATCTAGAAACTTTCCATCTAGAACATCATTTAAAACTGGATTTAATTGATATTTTCAATGAAGATATCCAAGTTTGACATGACTTGCTGGATTCTGGGTCCTCAGACCTTTGTAAATCTTTTGAGTGTGAGACTATGTAGATTGGGATTTGAGGAGACCGGGGATTGGGATTCTTGAACTAAGGATTCCTCTTTGCATGTAATGAAACCGTTCCATTATTGCTTCAAGTTTACCTTATGCTTTTTTTACTTTTCAGGCAATGTACAATGAGTTCTCAACTTCCAATATACAGATAGACAAGGATTTTAGTGCAAAGCTTTCTGGTTATGGTTGCGTCAGCCACAACCCAGAGGCAGAGATTTCCAATTCTTCAACGGTATGACTTTTGCAAGTCAGAAATAATTGTTACTATTACCAATTCTGAAGGGCTCCTGTTTTATATGATGAGGATTGGATGATGGATGATATTCATCCTTAGCATAATAATTAACTTCTATTGTCAAGAAGGGAAATTAAAGCAACAAAAGTAATGTTTTTTCAACTGTGAAAACCAAAAGAATTTTCATCCTTTTTTTGTCCAAGAATGTATTTTTGAATGAGTAATATCATTAATGATGGATGGCGTAGTTTTTTTCCTGGGATATTTCTAACTTATGAATTACAAATCATGAGTCTTATATTTGGATTGCTCTTATCCGTGAGTTCTTCTGTGTTGATTAAGATCCTCCTTTTTGAACTCTTCAGGCACTGGCGAATCTTTCGATGGAGACATTAGAGAGGGGATTACTTACTCCCAAGAGCAATGTTTGGAGTTTTGGAATTGTTCTTCTTGAATTACTCACTGGTAGAAAGAATCTTGATAGCCGCCACCCCAAGGAAGAGATGAACTTAGTTAAGTGGAGCAGACCCTTCCTAGCTGATGATTGCCGGTTATCCCTGATAATGGATCCACGTCTAAAAGGTCGCTTTCCAGCCAAGGCAGCCCGGACAGTGGCAGACATTGCTCTAAGATGTCTCCAGAAGGATCCATTAGAGAGACCCACCATGAGAACCATTGTTGAATCTCTTAAGAATGTCCAGGAAATGAAGTACTCCTGTCGATTTCCACTCCAGGAGCCTGCTACTGTCACCGGAAAACATATGTCAAGGTCACCAAGTCTCAATGGTGTTGTTACACCAGCCCCCAGATTAAGTTTATCGCATTCTCCACCAACAAGAAGTCGGCCATCTGTTTCTCCGACAAGGCCACCTTCGTTGCCTATGTCACTTCCGCCTCGATCATGTTGATCTCACTGGATGAAAATGGGGCTCAGGAAAGCCGAAAATCAGTTTCCTCGACAGTTCGGAGGGCTGGAGTGGAAGGGTTTTGATTGTTAATAGGAGTTTTTTTTTTCTTCATTTTTTTTCCTTTTGTTTTGTAATTTAACAATGGTATATAAAAGGATAAAGATATGGTTCTTGCACTCATCCATCCTACAAGAATCTAAAAAGCAGAGGATGGCTTCTGTACATAAAGAAGAGTTGAAGCCTGTCTGTTTTGAATGGATTCAATCAGTTTTGTCCGATTCGTTCTCTGAGTAATTAACGAGTTTGCCCTTTCTCTTACGTAATACTGTAGCCTTTGAGATGTACATACACCCACGAATTAATTCAAGAACTCGTTCTCCAATTTGCGCCCAGGCCTAATCAAGGTTCAAAATATCGATACTTGCTTTTTTATTTTATTTTATTTTATTTTTATTTTTTTTTCAAAATTAGTTCAGAAGAGACGGTCCAGGACCCTTTCATCCCTTGAACCGGTTAGACCTCCGATACACTAACTGTGTAGGAGCATATCGGAAGGGTCTCAGAACTTACGTATCGACTAATATTTTGAACCTTGGGCCCAATCAAAATTTGAAATATATCTGGGCTGTAATTAATTTCTCTATCTATACTCTGCGGGAAAAATTTTGGCAGTCTACATTCAACAGCCCGCACTGTTCTCAGGCTCTCCCTGTTACACGTTAGTCTATGTGAACTATAACAGTGTTGATGACATGGCTGCATGCCTGCATCGACATGTTAGTAAATTAGTACACAGATGGGGTGGATAAGCTATGAGTGAGATTTGCTATGAACGATATAGATATCTCTGGTCTCTGGAGCCTTCGAATCTAGAACGTTTGAAGCCGTAATGCAACAGGCTGTTGTAGAAAGGTGTCAAGCAAGGGAAGACAGATACAAATGAGACAGGATCAAGTAACTCAAGCCAACTTATTTGCAGCGAGGAAAAAAGAATTGCAGCCAAATAAGTGAAGATAATTTTGTCCTTGACCTTATATTCCAGGACGACGGCCCAATGTGATGATAAGCGGAACAGACTTTTGAAATTTGACATACTTTGTTCAAATCCAATTAGTGTGCTTTTAATTTGTAACAAACTAACAATACCCACTTTTGCTGTTACTATGTATTTCCTATCCCTATTTGTCGCATATGGTAGTTTATTTTGACGTGAATTTGGCATTTCATTTTTGATAGTAACCCTTCTCCTCCTCTGTTTAATGTTTATCAGCACGGTATAGAACATCGTCTTAATTACTGGTGAAAAAACTCGGCTTTAGTAGGAATTGTCATCACTTACCAATGCATATAATTCCTGTTTTAACTAATTATCACGCAATATGTTCTATTTGAACTTTGAAGTCCAATCGATTAATTTTTGGATAAGAATCACCAGCCATGAAGCAACAAGTGTGAATTGGATGACCATTAACAACCAAGTTATACAAAACTACAAAGACTTAATTAGAATCAGACTAACATTAAAAACAAAATGCAGTAGAGATTATCTTTCTCTTTTCTTAATAAGCTGGGAATCAATTATGCGAGTGTGATTAATACTAGGGATGGCAATTTTTCCCATTTCCCCGATCTCTGTGCAGATCCGTCCCGAATGGGGCGGGGATGGAAAAGCACTTTCCGCCCCGTGAAATCCCCACTAATATATATGTATATATGTATACATACATCTATATATTAATATTTTTAAAAATGTGGTTGAATATATTTGAATCTTTTTTAATAAGATTGTAAATTTTAATTATTTTATTTTTATTTTTTAAATACAATAAAAAACAAAAACAAAATGGTTAACATTATAAGAAATCACGGGAAATGAAAACCCCCATGGGAACAGACTTTTGCAGGAATGGGGATGGAGAGAGGCTCCCTATCCCCGCCCCACCCCGTTGCCATTCCTAACCAATATGTACGAGGACTTTTACATAATTTAACTTAAATGAGCTTTATTTTGGAATGGGTCTACAGTCAACTGTCAACCACGGGTTGGGTTATTAACGTTAGCTTAGCAGTGGCCACTGGCCAGGACCAGGTAAATGAAAATACGAAGATGAAAAGTGGATTTCTTTTTTCTTTTTTCACTTAGATGAATTGATGTAAACCGCAAACGTACAAAACCATTTGTACTGGAATCTTCTATCCTAAATCCCTGATTAATTTACAGAAGCTATAGCGTCTGCGGTAAGCCTGATCAAGACGTCCTAGAAATCTCATAGATGGATTTTGCCTTTCATATTGCCATCCATGGTCCGCCTAATTAGGTAATTCAGTAACCCAGCAAAATAAAACCACGTCGATAAACAACAAGAGTCCCTTAGGCTTTGTTTGGTTTGAAAGAAAAGGCAGGAAAAGGGAAAACTGAAAAAGTAGAGAAACCTATATAATGCCTTTCTTTCAAACCAAACACAGCCTTATTAATTAATCACCATCGATATTCATCACCTTTGAGCATAATCCCTTCCAATTCCAAAGAAAACATTTAGTGCTGTTAATGGGTTGGGGTAGACCTGGTTGGTCCTGAACCAGTAAAGGTATGCAGAACCAGTCCCCAACTTCAGCATATAGGGTCTAATGGCCTATTATTACAAAACCCAGAACTGGACCAATTACTAATTGACAGCTCTAATTACTTACATAACAGAAGATTCAAATTTTCATACTCATTGATTCAGACGCTAGGAGATGGCTAGGTGATGAAGGGGAATATGAGACTCAAACCTATCTTATAAATATGCTTGCATGGAGGGAAAAGAAAAAAGAAACGGCATTAACCCATTCCCTTAAAAAAGACAAATAACATGGATATAAGCTTATTATCCCCTAATCTATACACAAAAGTGGATTAACTCCCTAATCTGTCAACTTTCATAATTGATGAATAGCTGACCCCTATCCTTACTTTGATCCTAAATGTATGACGAGTTATTGATGGGCCAAAGTAAAATACCTCGCATGATGGTACAAAAAAGACACGTGAAATGTCAAGTCTTAGAGCACTGTTGAGAATCAAGGCTGTGTTTCAAGAGACAGAAGGTTTACCATCTTAATATCAGATCTCAAGAAAAAAAGGTAAACTATTGAATCTAGGATTGAATACTTGAAGTAATTTTCACACAAACACGACCAAAAAGTATTTATGCATCTTTACATGGTTTTGGTGATAATAGGTGGGGTGTTCAGCAACATGATCGGTTTTGTTAATCAAAATAAAAACAACTGTAACATCAGCAAAGTCGATATACTTTTGCTGATGTGGCAGTTGTTTTTGTTTGAAAAATAAAATTATACATGTTGTAGAATGCCCCCAGGGTGAGCAGAGTTAGATGAATGGTACCTATTGTAGATCTGGATTCTGGAAACAAGATCACCCATCACCTCTGCGTGGCCATTGGGCATTAGATGCCACTGTTTAAGGAAGGAACCATCAAAGCCTGAACTTTTCAATATGCCTGTCAGCAAGGAGGCTACACTTGTTGAAGTGGTGAAGACTGAAGAATTGAAGTAATAGTCAAATCAATCTCACTTACAAAACAAAACAAAGTTCCCATTGGCAACATAACGACCAAGCTCCGAGAAGTGTGAGACACTGATTCGTTGTTTATCAACATTGACTTGATTTCAAAGTGCCTCCTTGTACATGATTCGTTGTAAAAAATGTGGGTATTTCTCTCAGCCCAAATACACCAAAAAACTGCAAAAGGCAGATTACTTTTCCTTTCTGACTTAAACCTTGAAGTTACCACGCTTTAAGAAAACTTTCGGTTGTGGTTGGAAAGCAACCAATCCATCAAAAAGTGTTTAAAGCCATTTTCCACATCACCCTAGCGAAGGAACAATACAGGAATAGGTGATTATTGGTCAATTCTGGCTCAATAGAGAACAAAACACAATCTTTGCTATCCAGTACCATACCTCCTCTCAAGAGTTTGTCAGCTTTAGCCATTTTTCTGATGTTGATATACAATAGTTTTAACAAATAGTTCCAAATTATCTTTTAAAAGTATTTTACATCAAAATAGGCTTAAAACAATATATCTTATAAGTTATTTATAAAATAAAACAATATATCTATATCTTAAAGGTTATATTAGGTAATAACATATGTATTTGAGGTGGGTTTGAACAAGTCAACATTTCTAAGATCTGGACAGCCTAAAAATAGTTTTGGCTGCCACCTCCTGGTTCTGCTGACTCTTTGGTCCAGCACGAATAAAACTGATTTGGACTGATTTGTTCTTCAACCAAGTACTTCATTCCCTTTCAATTTTAACCCTGGAAAGAGCCTTGTAGTAGAAATCACCTAAAGTAGCCATTCAATTTTAAACCACCCTAATTAAATTAACCTTAAATCAACTGCACTGAATTTTTAATATATTATATATAAAAAGACAACTAATACAATCAAAATACCAAGAAAACTGAAAGAAAGCTAAGTTGTCTCTGCCACCTTTTCTTCAATTTGTTATGTGGTTTAATTGAACTTAAGGCTCAGTTTGGAAAGAGTACAAATACATTGAAAACAATACAAAATACAAGGTTTTCCACTCTACATATTTGTATTTGTACTCCTTCCAAACTTAGTCTAAATGAAATTCTTCCGCTATAACATAGTTTAGTTGATTTTCCTAGCTAATATATTGTTGTCTGACAGAAAGCAGGCCTAGGTAGCAAGCTTCCAACACCATACACTTACCAGGCAAGAAATTTTAGAAGCTTCCCTACTCAAGTAGGTTTTATTGGGAACTGCAAACTACAAATGAAAGCTGAACCCAGACAAAGCAACCAAATAAATCAGGTAAATAAAAGCTCCAAACTAAATACACAACCATCAAAATCTAAGATATACTGATCAACTAGCTTCAACAATCTGAGCTCTTCATTCACTCAATCTGAAGAGTGGAAAAGTTCAATTTCAAAAGCAATGTCAACTTCAAACTAAGAGGTAAGAAGCAAGAACTACTCAAATTCTTGAATTTCTCCAAAATCCTACCAGTCAATTTGAACATTAAACACATCATAGTAAATAATAGAAAAAGGTCTCCAAGTCTCCAATATATAAGAGCCAACTCATCTAGGGTTCTAACTTTTTATTTGAACCATTGCAACCTGATCCAAAAGAGTTACCAGGTGTGGTTTGTGTAGTTCAGACTCTGGTTCACTTCATAAAAGTGGTGTTTTTTGACAAACCACAATTTGATAGGGGCAGGCTTCCAAAATGTTAACCAAATTATCAAATGTTGCTTATATACTTCAAGTAGCGAATCATATCTCGCTTTAGACCATTCCTCCATTCCCTTGATGGTGTTTCCCTTGACTTGCTGAATTCTGATAAGAAAATTTGGATTCCCAATCCCAATAGCCTGTTCTCCTGTGCATCCTTCTTCTGAGCTCTAACATGTTCACAAATCACAGCCTCCTGTTCTTATCCAAGGTCATTTGGAAAGGGCCTTCACAAATCACAGCCCAAGATGGATCTTTTTTTTTTTTTTTTTGGGGGGGGGGGGGGGTATAATATTAATTGAAAGATAAAAGAGGGGATGCTAGCCCAAACCTGGGGTGCTTGGCGCATCTTGGATATCATTCCTTAACATAAATATCAGTAAAATTATAAACATTACCAATCAAAGAAAAAAAATATGATAAGGCAGAAGAGTGTAAAAGTTTGATTTTCATCCCTTTTACATAGAGAAAAAAAGAATACTCCTATAGAATATTGCTGATTAGATCATCCCAGTATTTTTTTTTACCTCAACAACTGCACTTTGTAAACATAGTTGTCAAGGCGACACCTAGGCAACAAGGCACCCTTGGAGTCTCGCCTCGCCTAATCGCCAAGCAGTTTTCGATAGCATGTTATAACAAACTTTTATATTCTTAATTTTTTGAGGCTATAATTATAAAATAGACGTTTTTAAACTAAAATATTCATTTTGTGTGTTTATATACTAATTTCTTTTTGTTATTTTCTTATTTGTTGGGGTTTAATCAACACAACACAAACATTGCTAAATGCTGTATTGAACCCTCAAAGACTTTAAAACCTGAACCAATAAGAAAGAACATAAAATGTTGTCCAATCAACACATTTTCTTCTTTTTCTTTACTAATTTTGTGTTTTTATATACTAATTTGTTCTTTTTCTTCTTCCACCTTTTCTTTTCTTCTTTTCCTATAACAGAAATAGGGGTTTAGTCCCTATATTTTTCGAATTTCTTTTCTTTCTTCTTTTTCTTCTCATGAATATGTTGGAATTGGAATATGTTGATTTTCTAAACTTTAACATGAAGTTTATATTTTTCTTATGAAAAGTATGGATATTTATTAAGGAAATATGATTATGGAACCTAGGGAACTACCCTAGGATACATGTTTTTACTTCAAAAAATCCATCGCCTAGGTCACTAGGTGCCCCCTTGTTGCCTAGCCTCATCTTGGCGCCTTGAAAACTATGCTTGTAAAATAATAACATAACAAGTTCTGCCATGTAAAAATCTGCTAATGAGATAACTGAAAAATAAAAATGAGATAATATCACTCTGGAATTTGAATCAAATAAGGAACAAAACAACTCCATGAACTTGCAATTCATGCCCAAAAACAATAGCACTTTCTTTACTCTCCTAGCAGGTTAGCTTTGTTTGCAGGTCGAACCACAAAATTGTTGCCTCGTTGGCAAGGTCAAGATAGGGTAAAAAATATAATGGGCAATCTAGCATGTCAGCCCTGCCAAAGAACATAATTTATATAAAACAAGAAAAAAAATCAAACCCAGATCCCAATTATGATTAACCTATATCAATCTATTTTTGTGTACAATATAAAAAGATGCTGTCTGGTATCAACAGCATCCTTGTGATGACATATACCAGGAACTATAAGCCAGGCAATTCTCCATTTGAAAGCACAAATAGTTATTTAGAAGACTCCAGTGGTTGAGTTTGACAATGCACATAATGGGAGTACAACACTACCTCAAATGCAGCTAATACACCTCCAATGCATGTCAGAAGGAAGAAACATCGGTCAGCTTGCTCTGTCAATAAATAATCAAACTCGTTCCTTTTCAGTGTACCTTGGACTGAGTATCCTATCTACTTTTTTCTCTTTTCTTTCTTGACCCTTTTGGGAAAGAGTTCCTGGGGCTCCAAAAGAACCTCATGATGCATTTGTGCCCAAAGCTCTTTAAATTGGTTATGAAATCTCTCCTGAAACCAGTCCAGAATCTCCATATATAATTCTCGAGGATTGTCATTCCAGATCTCCTTTAACTTTGCACGGCTATCAATAACCCTTGACCTGGTTTTTAATTTGTTGAGAAGATTTCCAACCCGCCTTTGCCCTAATGCCTCTGGTCTCAAAATGGTAATTGCTGGGGCTGCCAAGAACTTCTGCACAGATCTTAAACATGGCAACACATGGCCTTCAAGCAAAGCATAAGCAAATACAGACAGCCTGTGCATGTCAGTTTTGATTGGCAAACTATGCAATGGAAGCTGCCATAAATGAGGACCAAAAGTTGGACTGACCCAGCATAATACTTGATCAGTCAAAGGGTCATAAAAAGGTCTTGGATCTGTAAGTGGGGCTGAGAAATAGCATAAAGACCAAGCATATTTGATGAGCCAATCTGATTTTATGGCTGTAACTCCATGCATGTATGGCCGTTTTGTGTGAAGTAGTTCATTGTACACCAGAAACTCAGGGGCTGATCGAGAAACAGATGACCAACGATGGAGAAACACAGTTTCTTTAACCACGCATGCTTGATACCGAACTGCATTAGCTTTTATATCTCCATCTGATGACCCTGAAAGTACTCTAATGCGCTTGGCAACTCTATCTGCCCAGCCAGCACAGATAGCTTGGCCTAAGATCTCCTCCTCATTCAATAAGAGTGGATGCTTGTAAGCAGAAACCCTCCAAGCCTTTTCTACATCCTCGATAGTTCCATGAATCCATGAGAAATCTTGTTGAAAAGAATCTATAGAGCTTTGATGAAATACCAATTGAAGTAGCTGTTTTCTCATCTTGGACATTTCCTCCATGGTTTTCAGGTGGAGTGCATTATTTTGGCAGAATTCTGCAGGGTTTCCTGTAAGCTCAAACAACTGTAAAGCATAGGCTATGGTGAGAGCATCACTGCTTGGGTTGGAAAATTTTGCACGAGCCAGTTTAGCTATTTCTTTCATTCTCTTCTGTCTCAGCTTCTCTTGCTTGTCTGGAATTTTCTGGCCATCTGCGGTATCAGATTTCTCATCTTGATTCAAATCAGCTTTGTTACCCTGACTCCCTTCAAACTGCATGATAAAGGGATTTGACAAACTCAAAGCTGCAGCTGCAGCAACTGCATAACCCAAAACAAGATTTGCTCTGGCATAACTTTGTACTTTGCTCATTATTTGAATAACAGTAAGGAGCATGCGTGAGTGACGAGGACTCATGGGGTAATGTGCCATAGCCTTGCCTAGGGGTGTCAGTCTTCCTTGGTCATTAAGTGCTTCAAGAGCTTTTAAGCAACGCTCAGCTTCCAACAAGGCAGTGGCCTCAGGAGGAGTTGGAAATGGGAAATTGACAACCTGTAAAGCAAAACAAAAAATCAAAAGCTTATATTAAATTACTGCAATGCAACATTTACAATGTTGAAGGTTTGCCTAATTTGCTAAAACATCCATAAATTGTGAATAGGTTCATTGAATACTAGTAGTCTGCAATCTACATCAACTACAGAAGTGGACTGCAGCTGTAGATAATGTTGGTTTCAGGGGTATCTTGAATTTCTCATGTTTCTCCCTTTTCTGTCTTCTCAAACCCTAGTTTCTACCACAGACTATGTAATGTTTGCATCCTCTGTTTGGCTAGTGGTGAGACCCTTTCTCATTTACTAATTTTCTGCTCTTTTGTATCTTGCATTTGCGATTACTTTTCCTCACTGTTTGGCTGCAGATGGGATCCCCCACAAGAAGTGGTCAGCCTATTTAGTTCCAATTTCCTGGGGCAGCAGAAAGAAAGGGCAAAATATTTATGGAGGGTAGCAAGAGCAGCTGTAGTTTGGACCATTTGGGAAGAAAGAAACCAAAGGATTTCTAATGAGAAGAACAGATCTAAGGAGGAAGTAATTGAAACAATAAAAATCAGATCTACACACTGGCTAAAAACAGTAGATATCTTCAAAGATGTTTCAACAAATGACATAATAAGAAAATGGAAGTGGCACAAATGGAAATGCATAAAGAAATTACAAGATGGATTGGAAACCTCCAGAGCCAAATAAATTGAAATTGAACTTTGATGGTAGCTCCTTTGGGAACCGAGGGAGGGATGGAATAGGGGGAGTTTTCAAAAATCATCATGGAGAAATTGTGGCTTTCTCAGGACCAATTGAGTATGGAGACTCGGTTCAGGCAGAGATAATGGCACTGTTGCAAGGCTTGAAATTAGCAGTGCAATTAGAAGCTAGAGAGTTGGAAGTGGAAGGGGACTCACTATTGGTCATCTCTTGGGCTAAGCAAGTAAACTCAGCACCCTGGAAGTATAGATTTGCATTCAGAGATTGACTTACTGGCTCAGAGCTTTAACTCTACTTTTGAGTGGACTAAAAGGACAGCAAATGTATTGGCAGACACTCTAGAAAAACATGGAGTTGATAGGCCTTCTCTATTTTGGGAAAAACTGTAGCTGGCTGTGTAAAAACATAGGGTTGATGATCCTTGTATTCTGGGACCTTTCTATATTGTAATCTGTTACTAAATTAATAAAATCATCTTTTTCTGATAAAAAATTGTATACTGCCTGCAAACTATGTGAATGCTACATGCTACCCGTGTTATAGCCCTTAGGATATAAACCATGTAAAACCCACCGTTAGTAATTTGGCAGGTCCTTCTAAGAGTTCTACCCCACAAGGTGACCAAACTGGATGGGCATAACAACCCTATCACCATGTTATACATTGTCCAGCATTCAGAATTGGTAATTATATAACCCAGCTAATGTTCACCATATACATGATGATTAAAAAAAACGCAGCACACAAATGTACAATTCTACCAATTCAGGACCATCTGTTTTGGTCCAATCAATTAGTAACTTCTTTGAGAAAATGTCAAACTTCAACGATACCTTATCAATACCCATGGATTTCATAAGAAGCACAACACCATCAACAGGTAGTTTGCATATCTCAGCAGTTGAGAAGTCAGAAAAAAAGTTACTAAAAACTGCTGAAGAATAGAGGCGGTAACAGTGCCCAGGTCCAGTTCTTCCAGCTCTTCCTGCACGTTGAGCAGCTGATGCCTTGCTTATCCACTGTATCTCATATGTTTCCATACCATTGGAGGAGTTGTAGTTCTTGACCTTCTCTCTCCCAGTGTCAACAACATACTTGATGCCAGGGATGGTCAAAGACGTTTCTGCCACATTGGTAGCAACCACAACAAGCCGCTCTCCCTCTGGAACCTCCTCGAATACACGAAGCTGTGCTGTTGCAGGTAGCATAGCATAAAGAGGTAAGGGGCGCAATGCACCAAGACATACACCTCCTTCCCTATGTTTCTTCCATGAAATAGGAGGGGATTGACTTGAACACTCTTCTGTAGTGGCAGTTGCAGGAAGAATTTCCTTAGAATTAGGGTTAGGTGCATTTTTACTTGCCAAAGCCACAAAAGCAGCCTTCAGTGGTGCAAGGCTCCCAGATTCTTCTAGAACATTGGAGTGGTTGCCCTCTTTCTCAAAGGTTTCATTATTAAGAGGATCTCCAACATCATCATCACATTCCAGTTCGCTTTCTGTTCCTGAATCATAAGAAGAATCTAACTCACTCTCATTGAGATCACCATGATTGTCATCGTAAAAGCTAAACCTATCGGTTTGCTGGTGTGATGAATGATCATGAATTTCAAATGCTTCCTTGATGTCCATCAATTCAAGATCCTGATCAATGGAGCCTGCTTCAGGGGCTGCACTGACCTCACTCTCAGTTTTTCTTTTGGCAGTATTCTCACAAAGATCTTTTGAAGCTTTACGGAACTTCCTGCACAAATATTCAACTTCCCTCTGCCCAGTGACAAAGACCAGTATGCCACCAGGTGGCAATCTCTTGTGAATTGCCATTACCTTCTTATAAGCTTGGCCAATGTAGTCCACAATGTCTGTTCTCTTTGAAAAGTGAATGGTGACAGGAAATTGTCTGGTTGGAACTTCCATAACTGGTGGGGGTTCATAAAATAACCTCCTTCCTGAAACAAAGTCCTCAACTCGCAAGGTGGCACTCATAAGCACGAGTTTCAACTGAGAAACCATATTTTCTGGACTAATTCTCACTCCTGAAAGAATCTTCTCTTGCTGTTCCTCATATAACTTCTGTCATCAAGCACAACATGGATAAACAATGTTAGACAGCATGGACTTTGATTATGTACTCCTAAGAGTAACAACACTAATGTTTTATAATTTACCTGACGGACTCGCAGAATACGGGAAAGCATTCCAATTAGTATATCAGTATTCAAGCTCCTCTCATGGGCCTCATCCAGAATGATAACAGAATATCGCCTCAACAAGAAATCACTCTGCACCATAATAAGCCTAGTTTATATTAACAGCATTGCAAAGAGAGCATAGTGGAACCATTAGGTATAAAATTGTATGCCAGTTCATCAATCAAAAAAGAAGAGAAGGGCTAGTCAAAAAAGAAAATAATCAATACCAAGGGGTGGAGAGAGACTCATTGTTTTGGGCATAATTGTAAGGGAATTGGGGCTTCTTGGGGGAGAGAGAAGAGGTTTAATCTTTCATGAACCTTAACTGTTTTTGAACCTTCTGTACTTACCACTTTCTGCTCAGATTAATAAAATTTAATGTTATTGATAAAAAATAATAATAATAAGGGATGGTTCAATGGAACAATGAACAAGAGAACACAAAGAAGTCAGGTCAAGTATATTTCTTATGGTAGGCACATGTGTAGATCAAATTTTAATAGCATGCTAGAGTGCCCTGTAAGCTCTAGGCTGTCTGATAGCTTGTATGGCTGCTTTGACATGCTAGACTTTTTTTCTTTTTTGAGAAAACGTAAAGTATAATTGTATTAATCAACCGGTACTTTGTACAATGAGAAGCTGTACAAAACATAAACAAAAGGACCTCAAAAAAAAGGCCACCTTCAAAAAATTACAGTGAGTTGTATCTTCTTTAAAACCTGTATGTATAGACAACCAGCTCCTAAGAAGTTCAATAGTCTTGTTAATGACCTCAGCTTCAGTAGAGTCTTTGTGATCAAAAGTCCTGTTCCTTTCAGTCCATAGTTCCATACTGCCCACAAAATAGGCAGAGGTAATGAGGACCAGCACAACTTCCCCTTCTTTGTCATCCCCGGTATGTGCCAAGCCTCAAAGCATTCTTTAACTGAGGCAGGCATACTTCAGCTGACCTTTAAGCACTTTAGAAAATAGTTCCATATCTCTGCTACAAACTTATAATGTAAAAACAGATGGTTAACTGATTCCATCTCCCCACTGCACAGGCTACAGCTCAAATCATTGCATGGAAAACCTTTCTTCAATAGCATCTCTTTTGTTAAGCATTTCTCTAGAACTGTCACCCAAGCAAAAAATTTAACTTTCATGGGTGCCACTGTCCCCCAAATGACCCGACTAGGAAAATGTGTACCATTTCCATCTACTAAATATATGTAGAAGGACTTAACTGAGAATACTCCTGATTTCTCCCATTTCCACACTCTTGAATCCTGGCTTTGCAAGTTCAGAGTCTGATCTTGAAGCAAAGCTAGAAGATCCCCTATCTGTTGAATCTCCCAATCATTAAAGTCCCTTCTGAAGGATGGGTTCCAGCAAA